CGTGACGGGTGGGGGGCCGCAAGGTGACTCGTCCCGGGGTGAAGGGGGCGCCCCCCCCCCCCCGCCATGACCTTGCCCCGCGTCTCCCTCCGCGGGCGGGGGGCGCGGTTACCATGGCGACGACGGGGCAAAAAAACTTGTTTTTCTCCCCAGCGGGGAGCCGCTTCCCCCCATTTTATGCACCAATAGGGCATTAAAATAAAATAAAATAAAATAAAATAAAATAAAATAAAATAAAATAAAATAAAATAAAATATGTTCTCCTCTTTTTCCTCCTCCCAGACAATTCTTGTGCTTGGGGAGGTTCTCCCTCCCAACAGGGCCTGTGCAGCTGCCGGCCTTGGCCAAAGGCCCCTCTCGCTGTAACATTGTTAATACCGAGAGTAACACAACCAAACCTTGCATTTCCTGCCCCATTTATTCACTGTGTTGTCACCAGGGCGGTTGAAACAAGTAAGATTTATTCTACTTAATTACTGCAGCACCTACAAACCCCTCCAACCAGGGAGTGACCCCCCAACGGACCACCCTGCTGGTTTTCCCGTATGCTTCCTTATTTTGCAATCTCACAGTTATCTCCTGCTATCGTTTTGGCCCCAGCCTGGAGCCCTCTCACCGCACAGAGCACGCAGGCAGAAAGCAGCGGATAAAACGCACTACTAAGGAAGACAAAGGCAATATTGGCACGACGGGCTGACGCGTGGCCCCAGGCGCGCGTGGGCGGCACAGCTACTGGTCACACATCCAGGGCATCTGTCTTGCGGGTGCCTATGACAGTGCAAATGAAGCAAGAGAAAGAAGAAATCACCAAATAAACTGATAATATGTCAGCTTTGGCAGAAATTGGGCTATAGGTTTAATGAAAAGAAAGCACTGGGTGCTCCAATGCGGTCTTTGAGCGACAGCACGTCCCTTTCCATGCGGACAGATGACAAAGGGCCCAACAGAAGTCGCGTGGGCTTTGCCACCTCCTGCAAAGCTGGATCACAACCCAAAATTGCTTGAATCACCCGTTCCCCTGGGAAAGAGAAAGGCCTCCATCTCGCTGCCATTTGAGCTGGGTGCGCACAGAAAAGAGGGAAGCAGCAGCAAGCCTGGAGTTGGGAACTGCGTGACGGAAACGCACACGGCACCTGCARCGTCACTGCTCACTCCTGCTGTTGCCACTGACACCCACAGCGTCACCTTACGGCAACTGTCACAGTGATAGCGCCACACGGATATCAAACAGAAGCAAATGCTGCTATTGAAATCAGCAGGGTATTTCTGCCTGGCCTTTCCAGGCTAGGCCAACAGCACAGGACCACAGTGAAGTTCATGTGGAAAAATGCTACCCCGCTGCCCACAGCCCAGGCACAGAAAGCACCACCAGGTTCTTGTATTTCAGAAACTGCCTGCAGCAGGTAGGATGATTAAGGTGATAGTAGGAGATTTACTACCTCTTTATTGAAAAGGAAACAAATTGTAAGAAGGGAAAAAGTCAGAGCTCTTTGCTTTGCTAAAGCCCAGTCAGAATAACGCTAATATTTTTTATTCCTTTATGAATTCTTCGTACAAATTAGAAATGGTCATTCTTCAGACCGAAATCCATATATTTTTTTAAAATATCAGCCGTTAAATTCAGGAAAGAAAAAAAAAAAAGCAGGCAGCAGCCTGCTGATGGACTGCAGGATGCAACCTGGCTAAGAATTGGATTGACCGATGTTTTTTTTGCCAAGCAGAAAGCAGCACACAGTGCTAAGTCATTCCTGACTAAAAAAATTGCGTATTGTTGGCAGGAATGTGAAGATATGTCTACAAAATGCTTTGCATACAAAGAGAGTTCACCCAGAACCAGCACTGTACATGGTACAGCACAATACACAGCAAGACAAATACTGTCTGCCAACAAAAATGCTTGTAGCAAATGACGTTTTGATGGTTCCATCATTAAAAGAGGTTTTCCTACCTATTTTCCTGAGTTAGCACACCAAGACCGCATAATCACAACTATACATAGTCAAACAGGTTAAAAAAATACAGTTCCACTCCCTTAAAATTTTGTTTYGCTGTTTCTTTTTAAAAGAAAATTTTATTGATAATGGCACCCAGAACCACTGAGGCCTTTCTAAGCCAATTAAGTGCCACCAAATTGACTCCACCGCAAGCGCCGCGTCTTCACCTACGTCTGAGGTCAGTAAGTTGTTGCCCATGACACATGGCAACAAAACTCGACTGGGTAACTTCTCCTTGCTGAATACAGCAGGGATCGTGTTTGTGTGCCCAGGCAGTCAAACTTACCACCAACCAGAGGTTTTCCTTTGCTCCTGTACATCATTTTGCATTATGCAAATAGATCCAGAAAAGCAGCAATAAATGGTCTTTCCTCATACTGGGAGGAGAGCAGCCCTCAGTATTAACCCATTTCTTTCAGTGAGCCACTTAAACCCTGTGTTCTTTGCTGCTTTCTCTCAAGGTAGCGAGCTCGGGCGTCCAGGATTGATTTTTCATCATTCCTTCTCTCCATCTTCTTTGCCGAGTCCTCTGTGGCTCTTTCTGAGAGGTGGAAGGGAGAGAGAGAAAAATACACTTTTTTTTTTTCTATTATTCAAATCAAAGCAACCACGAACAGTGTTACAATTCCTCCTATTTGCTAAACGCCCCTCAAGACCCAAAAACTTTAAGTGTTTATCAAGCACCTGTCAGCCATTTTAACGACTTTCAGAGAAAACGGACTTCACCACAGTGTGGAGGAAAGAATAATCATGCCTGAGCTCCCATGTCAATATTTGCAGTTGGGGTCATCCCGCCCCTAAATGTATATCTCACTAAGTTTGCTTTACAACAGAGACTGCATCTTGTTTTCTATGTAGCAGTTTCTTCACTAAATCACACACCACAAATTCTGGTTTAGGCAGGAGGAGGAGAGCACTGAGAACAGAAAGAAACCTTAGGATAAACAAGGAGGGAGGACAGCACACAGATAAAGGAATCTGAAAAGTCAATACTCCAGATCAGACACCAGCAGAAATACACATTCCTTCCTGCCCCTAACTGAGCTGAGACCTTGGGATTGCTTCTCCCAGAAGGAAAGAAAAGCAGGAGATAGTCTTTGAATGATTTTTCATGAAACAGAAACTATGAAAAAATAAAGTACTGGGTAAATGATGCAGCTAGTGCAGTCTGTTCCTAGGGGTCTGGTGCTGGAATCCTTGATAGGAAGAAGGAACTTTAACTAGCACTGACATTTGAAAGATTTGTAAGTGTTCTGTCCTGCAGACAAGAGCTCAGCTCATCCTGCAGCCTTTCCTTCCACTGACAATAAYAAAGCCTTCGTCAGCTATTTAGCCACCTATTTTTTTTATGAAGCTTACAGACACATAACATTTGTAAGGTCACTATTAACCTCACATTAATTTACAATGTTTAGTGGAGTCAAAAAATGCAGGGGAGCATCGGAGAGGTGGACAGAGAACAAATCTCACTCCCCAGACTTTAAATAAATAAATGAAGCTTCCCTACTTTATACAATAACAGAACTATCTTTTCCAGCAAATTTATAACCAAATCCAATTCATATTTGTACCATTTTAATTGGTTTTCTTTGCAATAACACAGATGAGAGACCCTCGCTTGAGCACAACAGTCTACAGCTTATCCAGTGGCAGTGAAATTGAAGAGAATCTGCACCACCACTGCTTGCACTGTACATTAATGTTTTGGAAGGGTCAGCTCAAGAGTAAAGAGGCCCCTTAAACACTTGGCTGCTTTCCTAAACCTGCTGACAGAAGAATTCAAAGAATGTCAAGTGGCTTGAYCAGTCAGCATGCACCAGTTCTTTTAATTAAAGCAGACAATTTAAGTATATTGTAAACTCATTGTCAGAAAAAAAAGACATCCACCAAAGCATGTGATACTTCTCTGTTTTTTTTTTTCCATCCTTTCTCAGCATGGTATTCCCTTAGCAACTAATATTTCTATAGCTAGAGGAGAAACATCGTTCCCAAACCTAAATAATGATTAAACTCAAAACATGTCTTCAGGTCTGCTTTAGGTTCTGTTCCTGCAAGCTACAGTAAACCTGGAAGAAGAGGGAGCATAACAAGAACTCGTACACAACCACATTCCTCACAGTGCCAAGGCAGCACAAGAGAACTGCAAGGTAAGATGTGAAACCAACCAGTGCTACACACAGCACGAGGCAAACATGCCTGGATGAACATCTACTACAGAGCCATGCCATTCAGTACCACAGCATYCACACACATTTCCACAGCTACCAATGCACACGTATAGGTGCCTGATATTCCTACCATATTGTCTTTTAAGGTCCTCTCTGAATTGCCACTTGCTTATTTCCTCTTCCGTTACTTCCTCCCGTGCCACGCTGCTCAGTTCATATGCATCGATCTTATGCAGTTTGGGCAACAAGTCTTTGACCCATTCGTAGCGAATTGGACACACTGTCCGGACATAGATTTTGGATGTCACTGTGACATCATGGAAGATGATCCACTCGAGCTGAGTTTCCTGGTTGTATAACTAAAAAAATAGGAAGAGTATTTGAGTGTTTCAGTATTTCTAGAACACTGTCCACTACAGTATCCCAATGCTTCAAATGTAAAAGTAAGGTAAAGCTGACATTATTCTAAGTTTTCAGACTGGGAAAATTAAGCATAATGACTTGCTTAAAGTCACAGAGAAAATCAAAAGAAAGTCAGAAAGAAAGTTCAGTCTATGCTGTACTTCTTTTACAAGCCAAACTCCAAATGCAAAGAGGTAAGGCTGTTCCCTATCCCCAAAAAACAATGTACTCTAGTGACACTGCACCAGGGTTTCTCCTGGCCATAAGTTAAACAAACAGAAGAGGAAAAGTTTACAGTGAACTTCCTCTGATTCCTTTGGCAGATCTTTCGCTACTTCATTAATGCAACTCAGTAACTTACTGTAGATGAAGGATGGATATAGACCATGCTGCCATGTCCATCCATTGTGCAGAAAGTCCTGCCTACAGACCTAAAAAAAAAGGATTTTTACATACATTTTATATACACTGAAATAAACTTTGATGATTATACAGCAACGCAAACTAAGCAAAACAGCAGCAACATAGTAGACAATGCTCAAACACATGAGTAAGGCAAAATTCTTCCAGAAATAAATGTAAAATCATGAGGAATAAAATTACCCTTCTAATTGACCAGAGTAACTTTGTAGCTCTGCAATGAAAAACAGAGTTTGAGAWTTCAGTCTTTTTGGTACCCATGATCACTTGACACCTTCAATGCACTTTAGTACAATATCTTCAACTGCTTATCACCTTGAAATTCATTTCACAGATGGAAAAACTAAGATGCCAATACTGCAGTCTAGCTATTCTGTTTCAATATGCAGGTACAGCCACAACAACAAAATCCTATCTTTTCTATCCTGTTCTGCAAACTCYATTACTTACCTCCTAGCTACATTGATAAAGTACCCTGCACACAGACATCTTCTTAGTATTTCAGTTCTGGAGCCTTCAAATTTTTCTTTAGGGAAGTCTGGAAGCTACGTACAGGAAAGAACAACATGAATTAGGGTATTTGTTAAAGAAATTCTCTCTGCAACCCAGGGAGTTTAAGCTTTGTGCTCCACACCTCACAGAAGCCATGAGGAAAGGAAGAAAACTTTGCTTTCTGCAGATTGCCACCACCAGACCTCTATTAGTTACATAAGCTACAGCAAGGATGCAGTAATAGAAATCTAGCTGGATTAGTTTCTACTTGAGAAAGACAACAGCTATCTGGAAAAGGCCCAGTATTCAAGCACATGTCTTACATAGCAGCTTATATAACTCAATCACATTTTAAAAGCACATTTTTCACCTGTTTCAGTTTGCTGATTATTTCCCGAAGTTGTGTTTCCACACTAAAAGCAGTCTTTAAAGCTCTCCAATGGATCCAGTGTTTCTGGCACCAAGCTGAAGGAGACTTGCTGAGAACAGAAATACTGGTATTATAAAGAAGCTCTTTGTAAGCTGAAGGCAGAAAGTTGCCTCTATTGTTTGTTATGGTCGTACAAAGAAGGCAACCTACACAGGCAGCTACTTTGTTAGTTTACATAATAGGTGCCTTGATAGAAATTCTCTGTCACACCAAGGAAGATATCTGCAGCTAGGTAGGGCTAACACACACATGTATATGTGGAACACAGGTAAAAATGCACCAGTAACTGCAAGTCACGAGCCATGCAAAACCACCTACTTTAGCGAATCATTTTATACCTTGATTTGCACTGTTCAAAGATATTTAAGAGGGTTGCAAAGTCATTGCAACCTCCCACTTGTGAGGAAAGTTCCTGGTGTCGGAGTTCTGCCTCCTTCTGCCTCTTAGGCTCACCTGAGGAAATAAGTTAGAGATCACTTTTAAGCACGTTTTACTCATCGCTCCTGCTTCATTTTCTGTTAGCAACTCTCTGTAGCACGTTTGACTGTCTTAGCTGTTTAGTCATGTTATTTTTAGATTTATTTCTCCTCCACAGCTGAGTTACACTTTTTCCTCCCCTTCTATTRCTGCCAGACAAGAATATGTAGATTAAATCTGTGATTAATCTCAGCACTAGAGATGGAGAAAGTTACTATGGATTTCTTTCTCATAATCAGTTCAGAGTGGCCATAAAACAATGATGAGAAAGATGAAGGACCAGTAGCTCTATACTAACAGTTCTCGGGGATCAAGTGAAAGTTTTACCTCAAGAGAAAAAAACAGGATTGTTGAAATCATCCCACCATGGCACCATTTAATCTGATGAACTCAGCCTTTGCCCTACCACTCAAGTGCCAAGAGATCTTAAATAAATAAAACACTTCTGGTGAAAAAAATATGATCTGTGAGTTTAGTGGGAATTCCCCTTCACTAAATGCTAGGCATGTACTACATGAAAGCAACATTCCTAGTGTGTTATTTCAAGGTCTGAAGAATCACTTCTGGATAAAGAGTGTCTTCCCTAAGCCCAACTTATTCCCCTTAGTAGAGGGATGTGTCTGCAAAGGCCAAACCACTACACTGCAGCATTGCAGACAGTCAGAGRTCTGCAGGTATTACTAATTACTATTACTAATACTGAAGTTAGAATATGTTCATAAACATATTGCACACAAGCAACTGTCTCCGGGATAGGAGTCTCTGCCTTTGTATCCTAATATATGGGGCTGCCCTAATACACGTGGTGCTGCTGGAGAGCTACATGCATGGGTGCACGAGCACACAGCGTGGGCGCCTTGCCAGGCAGACGATGGGAAAGCAAACACATTTGTGGGAACAAGAAAGACCCCAGAGCAGAATCCAGGCTCTCAGTACAGACTATTAGCAGTGTTGTTAGCTGCTAAACTAACAGATAGAGTTAATGGACTACAGAGTTAACTGGGCAAGAGCCAATGAGTGACTAAAAAGGACAAAGTTCCCCCATAAGATTTTGCTGCATAGTTTTTTTTCTCAGTTTTGAGGGGTTGGTGGTGGCTGTAGGGGAAAGAAGGTGGGAGGGAGGACACAGAAGACTTTCCCTCTAGCTAAAAGAGCTTCCCTGAACCCACAGCAGAATTACATTTTCTATTCACTCATAAAAACACTGCAAAGAGGGGCAGTCGCAGATGGAGCTTCTCACAGTAACTAAATAGCCTGTCTATTTATTTACACAGAGGCACTGGACATAGGAACCATTCCAGATGCAACCACATTCCTTAAAATCAAATCTAACCAGCCTCTGTTATCTCTACTTGGACCATAAGCAAATGCCAACAGCAAGACAGCTGCTGTGGCGTGTTCTGGCTTTCATATTTTTTCCCCTTTAACAGTTTTCCCCTTACAACCTCTCAGCAATCCACCASTCCACCCATATGCAGCCTTACAGCTCACGGTCTTGGGCCAAATACAACCTAACTCAGTATCACTTTGAAGTCTTTGAGATAGCTGCTGTCCAACTGCTAGTGTTCAATGTGTCCCTGACTTCAAGACCACACAAATCTGTAGGTGTGCATAGGCAAGGTCCGGCTGTACACTTGTCCTAACCTTATGTTCTTCCCTATACATCCAGTAGGAGGTATTCTGGCAGACAAGGCATTGCACTTAAAAGTCTTCCTCATGCTGCACTATATTGTGTAAGATATTAATGTAAGTCAAACACTCAGGTCTCCCATCAGCACTGGGCCCAAAGGTGGACACCAATAACTCCCCAAGCAGTTATTTTTCGCWCAAGTAAAGGTTTGTTATTCAGCTTCTGCCCATGAAACGAATACAGAGGTAGGTATCACTGCCTGGGATGCCCCAGTTCAAGGCAGAAATCCCAACCTACCCAAGATTGCTTTGAGTTAAGGGACTTCCTACCTGGACGAATGAAGACATTTTCCACAGAAAGCATGGCTGCTATGGGAAGCAGCAGATCTTCACAGTCTAAAGAAGCTGCTTTTATGACGGCACAGGTCAGGTTGGGAGGGAGAGGAAATTGCACGAGGAATTCACCCAGTCTTGTCACGTGGCCTCTCCTTATCCCAGGGAAAAGATCCAAATATGACTCAACAAACTATATTTTTATTTATACATCATAAATTGCACACACCAAGCCAGTACATGGAGAAAGAGAAGAAAAGAAGCAATCCTCTCTGTGCTCTGTCAATAAGTAGTTTGCATGTGGGCTCAGAAAGACACCAAATATGAAGCAAGCACCACTAGATAAAGAGCCCTTCCTCCATTTGCTTATGCTGGCTTCACAGCAATGCAAGGTAGTTTTTTAAGTACATTGAATGCTTAAGATTAAGAGGGTTTTCTTTTTTTTATTTTTTTTTTTGCAAGAAGAATTCCTGGAAGTTTAGGATAAGATCTCTCTTCCTGTCCCGAGTTCTTGGATGGGCCTCCCAGCCAGTGTCTAATGGTCACAATGGCCCTGGGATCTGCGATCGGGAACTACAGCACAGAGCTGAGGTAATTTTCCAAGGTCACTCAGGGCACTTAGGGCAGTATGGGGAAATTAATCTCTATCTATTGAGTCCWAAGACATGCTCTAATCCTAACTTTACTCCAGAGTATATTTAAAAGCCAATAATTAACTTCCTGGTCAAATTAAGAAACATATTTTACTGCTGGGGAAGGCCTTTAGTCCACATGAACAACTCCTGAACACTCGTTAACTTGAACCATTAGATTTAAATTCCTGTAGTGACTACATTTCTTTATAGTTTACCTGTCAATAGCATCACACTGGTAAAGTTGCTTGAGAGCTTCTAAAATAAGTCGCTCTTCAGGGCAGTCCAAATAGGGAAATCTATTGGATGTAAAAAAAAATGATTTTCAAAATAAAAGTAAAACCTCCCTGTGCAGATTCAAATTTGTTAATTTCTCTGTTTATTAAAATATTCTTGTAACCTTTCAGTAGTGGTTACAGATCAAGAGAGATATATCTGTCTCCAGTATATGGAGTATTACTACAAACACAGTCTTACGGTAAAAAATTATAACACATTCCAGCATGGCACATTCAAAGGTAAGCTCCATTTTCTGTCGTTATATGAACCGAATATTAAACATCACACAGAGGCAGCATTTGGGATACAAATATCAGTATTTTAGAGGAATATTATTAACGAAGGTCACGGTTAATTTTGAAGATAAGGAGCGAATTTTGGCAGAACCACAAAATGAACCTGAGCTCAAGAACCAATGTGGCATTAGAGACTCCCAGGAGGAGAGCAGAAAAGCTGCCGAGCTGATTGTACAGAAGTGTCACAGTTGGCTGGGGACCCAATCCTGCCTTCTGCCAGCARGAGGCTGGGCCTGGGCGGCCTCGCTGCGGAGGCTCGGGAGGAACCCACTGCTCCCCGCTCCGCAGAGGTTACCTGATGACATCGTGCACAGACAGGCACTTCAAGGTCAGGATCACAGCTGTCAGGCTGGTTCTCTTGATCTCGGGCACTGTGTGGTCAGGCATACACTGCTCCCAGAACTCCCTGCTGTAGAGCCGATAGCTTTTTCCAGATGATGTCCTGCCAGCTCTGCCAGCTCGCTGCGTTGCTTCGCTCCTGCCAAAGGCAAAATAGAGGGAAAAAAACAAAAACTCCTTGATCCATTACGTGATTCAAACAAGCACACTGCAATTAGGATAAATAACAGCAATTTTTGTGTTTGTGGATGAAAGATTTCATTTATCAGTTAAGATTAACATTAGCAGCTAAGAAATCCAGCTATACAACAACTAACAAAATGAAGGAGTATTTTTAAGTAAGAGAAGATTTTTTAAAAACTTCTCTGAATAAGGCTATTATAGTCAGCAAATAGAGGATGACTTGTGAGCCATTGCCCAGACTACAGATAACACATTTTAATTTCCTCTTAATGTTCATAACATGTAAGAAGTTCTACCTCCCCAAATACTTCCTGCGCAGCAGAAACCAAAATGGCTTTAAAATTAAAGAGCCTAAAATGCCCATTATCTCTCTAATCTCCTTTTTTTTTTTCAAGGACAACTGATACAGAGTCTTATGAGACCAGCCCCTAGAAACAACAAGCAAAAGATCCTTTTCAAACTTACTTTGAAATGGGAACCACTTCCAATATGTCTAAGCCGACTCGGGGGTTATGATTCAGCTGCTTCACAAATCCACTATCTACCACGTATCTGAAAAAGATGCAAACTCCACCAGAGAGGAAAACACCAAAGGTCTGAATAGGCAGAGGGGCAATCAGATCAAKGAGAACACACTTTCCCTGGCATCACTTTGAGCAGGCAGCTGTGCTTTGCTGGCCAACTGCACCCTTACAATTGTCCRGTCTATGGGATGTTATGGATAACACCCCCCACATCCAAAGAAATTACAGTGATTTAAATGAGTTGGGATACAGGGCTTTAATTTGAAATTAGACTCCATCAAGAACAGCCATCTGTGAGACTATATAGCAATACCTAGGTCTTTTGTAAAGCAGGCAGCAGTTACAGTTTATTGGACAGGTGTATTAGCAGTCACAAGATCTTTTCCAAATTTATTCCAATTCTCTCTGTTATCATTTTTTTAATGAAGGATAGGAAATGATACCTGACTCCTTCAATTGTCAGAGATGTTGCAGCAATGTTTGTCGATACCACACACTTTCTAATGCCTGTAGGAGCTGGCAGAAATATTCTTTTCTGTTGATCTAAAACAACAGACAGGCTGTCCATCAATAATCAATTATGTGACAACATCTGATATCAAACCACATCTCTAACACTAAACGAGCTTACTTAAATTCGTAGTAAAATCGGTTTGRATTACATTAGAAAATGAATCACAAAATATCTCAAAATAAAGGCTAGTTATTACTTCAGCATATGTCAAGAATCACAGAATGTCCTCTTTATTGTTCCCCCTTTCAAGGAAAATCTTAGATGAAGAAAGRCCAGTCCTCCCAGATATTTCCTAAATATAGAGCTAGGAAAACAAACAAAAGGGCCGGTCTTAACAGAATCTTCATGAAGGATTCAATTGGTTTTAGCAATCAACTTCCACTAATTCATTTGACCTTTCAAGAAACACACACGAGGTGGATATTCAACTATCCTTTGAAATTTTCTCCCTTAAAGTACTATACTTAAAAATATCAAAAGCTCTACAAGAAAAAGTTCTTGTGTATAGAAAAAGTCAAATCAAATAGCTTCTGAGAAACTACCACAAAAAGAAAGAAAAAAAGCAACTTAGCCAGCAGTCTAATGCTTACGACAGAGTTAAGAAAGAAGCTATACCTTTATGAAATGACATTTTACTTTTGAGAAAGTAAAAGGCTTGCACTCTCTCCGCAGATCATTACTAATCTCCCCTCTGACAAGCACCTTCAGACTACAACTCTGTCCTGCTCTTACAAATGTTATTTCAGCCTCTTGGCATTTTACAGGCTGCAACCAGGCATTTAAACATCAGATTCAAGACCATCTGAAAAAACAGTGCCTGTGCTCAAAGTCTTTGCTAACATTTATGTGTATTAAGTTATGTGAATTATACTTATTATATGCTTCTTACCTGTTGACATAGACCCATACAGTGGCAAGATAAGCAGGCCTTCAACAGAAGAATCTTGTACTTCATACCGGTAATCTATATTTTCTGCTTTCTGGAAAAGTATGTCACAAGCTTTCTCTATCTCAATTTGACCTAAAAAAAAAAACACATTAAAAAGCATTTAAGTGATCTGTTTAGCTATAACTCTGTCTTTCTACTTTGCAGCATCTCTAAATAAGATTGCTTTGCCAATATTAACAAGCCACCACTATCAGTGCAAGAATAAAACAGTATTTATGATAGTTACGCTTAAGTATTAACATTGCATCTTTCCTAAGTGCCTCTCACTGAGGTTTCTCATTGCACAGAAATATCATATATCATTTTGGGGGCATGATCCATGCACTGATATAGTTTACCTAGTTTTTGCAGTTAAAGACATTTTGCCTTCCTGAATAAATAAAAACAATGACAAAACAAACACAGATGTAATTTGGCATAAGAGGAAAAAGGACATACACCCAAACACTTTTGAGTTTATACTTTTCACTTCTGCTGTCACAGGCATTGATGCATTTAGCCATGCTCTGAAAGGTATCACTTCACAAAAGGACTGTGTCTGTCTGTCTCCAGATTCTCTTTCAGTACTTACTGGTGTCAGACAAATCAAGCAGTCATTGGAAAGATGGTTTTTTGGCAATGCCATCCTTTCCCTATAATCATTGGTTGTTGAATGGAAGAAATTCTCACCTGTCAGAAAAACCAAGATGTCCCCTTTTGGTTCATTTAAGTGTATATCCAATGTCACTTTTATAGCCTGAAACAAGCAACAAACAAGCAAATAGCAGCTGGATTTGGAAACTCAATTCCTCTTCCTAAAACATAAAATACAAACTYATTGCCGTATCCTGCAAACACGCTAACAACAGAGCAAGGCAACAGTTAGACCTTGTGTTCTTTCACAGGTGATAATCAAGCCAAGAACACAATGCAGAAACAAGGGGAAATTAACCCTACCTCAGTAACATATGCAGAGCTTCCTGTATTTCTGGGGCCAATCAGATCGCAAAATATCTCCTTGACCGGATAATTTCTTCCTGGAATATGCAGGACTGAACAGTGTCCAAAGAACTCGGAGAGCTTGTCTACCTCCAGGGTAGCTGACATCACCACCAGTTTCATGGCTTCCTTCCTGCCCTGTGGTTTCTTCTCTATGAATAATTTCTTCAACAAACCAAATAAAATATCCTAAAAGAAAACAGAGGCAACTCACAGACGTACTCAGTTCTCCTAGAAATGCCTGATGATATATGGGACTGGTTATATCCCAAAGGCTTAGCAATGACAAAAAAATACAACTTCAGTCAGCATCTAAGCGCTCAGACAGACACACMTACACTTTATCCTATCTTCTCATAAACATGTAAACATGCTAACTGGTTGCTAGGATGTTTTATCAGCTCTTTTTGCAGCCTATAAACTGAATTTGCATAACTTACATTTCTCACTTTTCATTCTTATACTCTCAAGGTCAAGTCAATTGTAAGAAGTTACTTTAGAGTTTTTATAAAAAGGCACTGCCTCTGTCCAGTGTACAGTACTGGATTCAGTGTTCATACTCCTAAGTTGTACTGTTTATTGTTATGACTTAAATTTTCTTTTATACTGTTTCACAGTGTAGAATTCAGTCTCCCCTCCCCACCCCCCCAACAGCTGTGACACAGATCAACAAAGTCTCTTCAGGACAAAGTCAACTTGAGCCTCACTCTGATTGCTCCAGGGGGGTCACAGTGACATTCAGGAGCTTTTGACAAGCAGCAGGTCAGTCTAGATACTGCCATGACCCCAAAGGGCATAATCTGCCTGCACAGGGTATACACACTCTATGAAACACTCAACCTTACAGTGAGATAGATGTTCTTAAAAAAAGTATTTCAGAAAGTTTGTGTTCACTATGATGGTTTTGAACTTTCAGAAATTTTGGAAAAGCATCAATGTTGAGTTTTAACTGTCTTGAAAAACAAAAATAGCTACAGTAGTTCCAACAGCTTCAGAATAATCTTAAATGGAAAGTAGATCAGAAGGGAAAACTGCTGCATCTTTATTGTTTTTTTACCAATAAACTACAATTTCTCCTTTAGCAATATCCAGCAGGACCTGCATTCAAGAAGGCAACACTYACTGTGCTGAGGCTCCGCTCATGGGCTTCATCCAAAATGATGATGCTGTACTTGTTGAGAAGAGGATCTGCCAATATTTGTCTCAACAAGCAGCCATCAGTCATGTACTTGATTGCAGTTTCCTGAAAGGTTTAATCAGACATTCAGCTGACATACTGGATACTCAAAGGGCAAAGAGCAACAAATCAGAACCAAAAACCAAAAGTACAAAAAGCACTTTACAAAACCCCCTGTGTTTGTTAGCCCAGAGCAAAATAAGAATTTTATTAAGATCACAGCTAGATCAGAGGATATTCCCAAACAGCCCAGGGATATTCCTAACTTTGTCATATCACTTTATATAGCAAGTAATGCACCTAATGCTCAGTGCTTGGGAAAGACCGAAATCTTAATGATTGGACGCAATTAAGAGTGGGATGAACGCTCTAGAGCTTCATATATTTCATCCTGTCAGTAGGATGCTGGGACCAGCAGCCTCTCCAGCCCCAATCTGTTTCACGATGCCCTGATGCCAAACCCTGGAAAAGGGAACTCGCAGCATCCCAACAAGGCCAGCAAATGGGATGGGTGTAAAACTGGACATGCAGCCCACTGACAGCACCAGCCAAGGCCGCRTTGGGGGCCGCGGGGCCCTACCTCGGAGCTGCAGTCGTCGAAGCGGACCTGGTAGCCCACAACGCTCCCCAGCGCACAGCCCATCTCCTCGGCCACCCGCCGCGCCACCGAGAGGGTGGCCACGCGCCGCGGCTGCGTCACGCCGATGGCCCCGTGCTTGGCAAGGCCTAGGGGACACACGAGGAGAATGGAGGCACTGCTTGACTGAATGCATATATAGAAACGTGTCGTTTTGAGTTTAAACGTTTTAATTGAACCGCCTCTTCCCAACACACACAGAGAAGTGCAGCTGCACCACGCAGCCTGAAGCCGAGCCCTCCCTGAGGAAACAGGAGCTTTTATTTGCCTTTATTTGTGACTTTCCTGCTATATTTCGGGCCTTACGGGGAGGGAGAAGRGAGTCCTGCCCCTGCCGTTACCTGCCTCGTAGAGGTACTTGGGGAGCTGCGTGCTTTTGCCGCTGCCCGTCTCGCCGGTGACGATGAGGAAGGRCCGCTCCCTCACGGCCTGCACCAGCACGCGCCGGTACTGGGCGATGGGCAGCGCGAGGCCCTCCATGATGGCGGCCGCGCCCCCCGCCCCGCCCCGGGAGCCCCCTCAGCGCCCAACGGCCGCCGCCTCGGCGGGTAACCGCGCGCCCCACGTGACAGCGCGCGTCCCACGTGACGCGGCGCGCGCCGATGACATCAGAGAGAATGACAGCGGGGCGGGGCGATAGGCCACACCCTCAGGGGCAAAGCCCCGCCTCTTTCTGAGGCGAGGCCCCGCCCCCGACTGAGGCCCCGCGGGACCCGCTCTGGTGGCTCAGCCAAAATGACGTTTTTTATATTTTTTCCCTCCAAAAATGTTGTTCTTCCGCGAGTCCCCTGGCCAGGGCGTGAGGAAGGAGGCAGCGCAGCGGCGCGGTTCCTCCGCGAGCGCTTCCCCTTCCTCATGACGCGGCTCATSCGCCATCAGTTATTTTTGGGTGAAAACACCGCCTTAACGAGCCGTTTTGGGCAGGGGAGGGAGCCCGTGAGGAGAAGTGGCCCCGGTCTGGCCCGCGTGACGTGCCCTGGCAGCGCTCGCGCCCTGCAGCGCCGCGAGGCCGCCCGGCGCCTCCAGGGGGAAGCGGCGAGCCGGGCCGGGCCGGGCCGCGGCTTCATTATCCCAATGTTTGCAATAATCCGTCTCTCTCTCTATATATATATGTAATATATAAACAGGCAAAAAGGCCAGTTGTCTCCCAATGTGCACACACCGCTCCCCGCTGCCCRCGGCTCTGCAGCCTTGCTGTTTGAGACCCCCCAGGGGCCATTACCTGAAATGGCTCCCAAAGGGGGAAGGAAACACCTCCAGCGCGTAAYCAAAATGCAGCTGTAACCCTCCAATTCGCTATTTCTGTTTGCTAGGGACATGCTCGCACCTGCTTAGCTCCGCACGGGACCGCAGTCACGTTGCGACCTGGTCTCCGTGCCCCGCGTCTGCAYGAGCCTCGTGTTCGGCACCGCAGGGCTCGCTGCAACACAGACCCGTTGCTCCTCGAAGCCCGTTTTCCTTTGCCTTTAAAGCTGGTCTATGCCAGGCCAATAGTTTTTTTTTTTTTTTTAAATATATCCCCCCGATGCCTGCCTGTATCCCCCTGTTTAAATTTAATGTTGTTGTCAGCTCTGCAGCTGCCAAGGCCACACACGCGCTGGTGCTCGCGGCTCCGGCCAGGTGCCCRTTTGAATGAAAATGAAAAATGTCGTGGGCTCGGGTGAGGATCAGGCCTCAACTCAGCTGTTCCTACACTTGCACCCTCTGTCCACCCGCGCACACAGCAAAGTGAGGAGCTGGAAAGAACGCGGGGTCGCTCGCCCCAAGCCAGCACCAAAGATGTGCCGTCTCTGGGGTCTAATTAATGTGTTTAYGGCAAGCCTTTCCATCACTATAATTATTTATAAATAAATGAAGGAAAACTGCCCAGGATCGGTGCCCTGGAAGGCTGGCCCAGGTCTACCTTGAGTCTCTCACTAATTCAGGACCTTTTGTACCTGCCCTGATGAAAACTGATGGCTATTTTAAGAGCTCCTCAAGCTCGTGCTTCTCTCATAACCCATGAGAGGCTTCTCATCTATTTCTGTATATTAGATATCTTTCCTTTTCTGGCTTCCTTTTGCAGTGTGCAAAATAATCAATAATTTACTTAGGCTCTACCTTGCCATTAGAGTGCACCAGGGCCATGATTTAGCTATTTTTCCATTGGCATAAAATAACCTGATATCCCAAACTACCATGGAATTGTCCACCAGCGTACATGGCAGCACCTCCTCCTACCCAGCGTAGTTTTGTTTCCCATCTGTTAAATCTAGGACAAAACACTGCACTTTTCTTCTATAATAAGAATATAGCGAAGAGCAGCTGACGGATTTCGCAGCCTCTGTCCTAGGGACCGGGACACGGTGTGAAGAAGGAAGTTCGGGCACAAGGGATAAGTCAAGAAGAAAAAACAGAGCATCTTGGCTTTCATTTTAGAGGTTCCTGCAATTGGGATCTCTGTTTAACTGCTCTGTGGCATCGACTTGGGGTATCCAGCAGCCCAGCAGGGCGTTTGGCAGCCACATACATCCCRGGAATGACTCTGTTTCTTCCACTAGCATTGGAAGAACAAAAAAAGCAACCCCCAGTCTCCCTCTGGCCCACCCCTGGCCTCCTCCCAGCTCCTTTGCCACCTGAATATTTCACTCCTTCAAGGATCTAAAACTTCATCWTGGAACAACCCCCAGGCTAATTGCTTTGCTGGAGATAATTTGAAATCTTTTTTTTTTCACTCTTTCCCTTGCACTTTTGGGTGTTAAATTTTGATGCCATAGTGGGTACATTCCAGCAAGCTAGTCCCTAATGTCTTAAACATGGAGATGCCTATGGCTGATCACATTCCCCTTGGCACAGCACTTCCCACCAGCATCCACTTTATCTTCTGTTCAAAAGCAGGACAACAAAATTACTGTCATATTCCCCCCTCCTTCTTCAGTGGCTGCCCACGTCCATTTGGTTTCAGGGGTTTTTCACCCGGCTTCTCCCAGCAGAGCCCATCTTTGATCCCTGGCATCCGATCCCAGCGGATCCCATGCTGTAGCACAAGGTCAAAGGCAGCTTTCCACCTCTGCTGTTTTCCATTTCAACCCCAATTTCCTGCTAAAAGAGCAACTATAAGACACTGGCCGTGCGTAGGGATATTGGAAGTTTTGGAAATGCTCCTCCGTAAGCGTGGGTTAAGGGATCGCTACGAATTACGATTTCAGGCTACCCCTGCGGTCGATAACACTGCAGCTTCATACCACGTGCAGGGGGTTTCCTTCATGCCAGCTAGGGCTATAATTCCATTTCTAATGCACACTTACATTTGCCCTCTCTCCCGAGGCTGCCCGGGAGGCAGCAATACGTTGGCATTACCCCAGGGAAACACAATCTCTGCTTAAAAACAGGTCAAAGAAATGTTTTTTTTTTTTTTTTTTTCCATGAACAAAAATGTATTTACAGTCTGGCACGGCTCATTTTGCTTAAAGAAAGAGCCACTACCAAAGTCATGCATCCGTGGGAGAACATCAGACGTTTGGATCTGCCCCAAGCCCAGCACATCCCACGGGCCAAGCAGCGGCACCGCTAGTGCTGCAACTGCACCCGCTGCAATTCAAGTGTCATCTAGAACAAATRCTGTCTGTTTTTTGATGCTGAAGTGTGAAACATGCCTGTTTTACCCCACCTTTCGATGTTCCACAGCTGGAATCATCTCCTAYACCTGGCAGTTATCCTCACTGTCTTTTTCTTGCCCTAATCATGGCCTTTCGCTCTTACCAGTGGCGTTTCCAACGCTATTAGTTCCATTAACTAACTCCGCTGGTGCCATTAACATTCACACACCCGCTTGGGAGGCCACAGTCGCAGGAGGACGCGGCTTGGCAGCAGATCCATAAGTGGAGGATGGTGCTAAGGCCCCATGTGTTTATCCCAGTCCCTGATATCAACAGAGCCCCAAGCCCTGCGCCTCCCTGCGACTCCCTGATTGCAGCAAAGCAGCCGCAGGGATGGGAAAGGAGAAGTGGGTCCTTTCTGTTTATAGAAAGGGCTTTTCCTCTCTAATGAAATGCAAATACTGGAGATAAAGCTGCCTTGCAGTAAAATGCTATAATAAAAAGCACTGTGTTAACGGAGGCTTTCGGCGCACGCAGTTTGCAGYGCCGTGGGCCAGGCCTTTGGGGCGCCGCAGTGGGTGCACACTGTAATTCTGCCTTCCCCACAGCATCTTTATGGACCTTTCCCCTATATTTTGCCTATGCAGGCAAGGAGGGCATGGGTACTGGCCAAGCAGAGGCTCCTCTCTCTCTAAAGCTAAAAATAAAACATGCTAAAAATACTGAACGATCAGAAAACGCTAAACCCCAGAGACCTCCCTGAACTCTGAGGATTAATTCCAATTTCTCCTTAATCCAGGCCGGAGCGGCTGCGTCACTGCTGGAGGCYGGGCTCAGCTCTGGCTTCTCCTTGCCCAGCCCGTCTTTGGTCTCCGCTCCAGCAGCCCTGGACTAMAAAAGGGTGCAGAGAGCCTGGCTGTGGGGCCACTATCCCTGTGAACTCCTCGCTGACCAAACCGTGATTTCCTTTTGCTTCCCGCCTCCTCCTCCCGTCCTCCTACCATCCTCCTCCCGCAGAGCACTGGCAGGGAGGCCTGGCCAGAAGGCCRGGAATACTGCAGTGATTATTAGGGGGACACTTTGCCAAACGCTGCTTTTAAAGAAATTACTCTGGGGYGGTCCCTGGCGAGGCCATGCGCGACCTGCACGCCAGGTCTGGGCATGGCAGCGCGCGGCCGAGGGAGCCGCGGCCACCAGGCCACCCTGCGCGTGCACCGGGGACCATTAAGCATCCTTAGAGATGTCGTCCCCAGCTTTACCTGCTGCATTTGGATGTATGCAATGTATACATGCGATGATCTGCATGCAGAGCTGGCCAGGGATGTTGCTCCGGCACAGGGAGGAGACCTTAACGCGCAAGTTCCAGGCACGGTGGCCTCGGAGAGCGCGGCTGAGCCGGCCCCGGACAGGCTTTGGGAAGAGCCGAGGTTTCGCGAGCGACCCCACGCAGCCCGGCCAGCTCTCCGGCAGCTTTTCACTCCCAAGCTCCTGCGAACAAACACAAAGACTCGTAGTCTGAGGTGCAGCTTATATGCAGCAGCCTATAAACACCTGAGCTATGCCTTTAGAAATGCCTCAGACCTCTCCATAATGCCGCTACTGTGGAGCTGCAGGAGCTCTCTGCATATCCGACCTGCTCCCYACAGCTGAATTCTGCCAAGGAAATAATACCCAGCCTAAGGAATTTCTCACAAACCCGCTACAAATGTGCCCTCCATCGGAGGGTGAGCAGAGAGGCAAGCAAATATTTTCCTGAAAAGGAAGCAACTTGGTGTTTACACCGAGCGCTGTTTCCTGAAGAGCTGCCTCGACTCCCTGGCCTCCCTGCTTGCTATTTGCCCAGCTGGGGGAGAAGTTGGGCAGCTCCCGGCGGCTCCTGGCGGCTCCGGCCGCGCCGCAGCC